CGCTTTTAAATATATGGTTTTATATATGTGCATATATATTATACATACATGATATTCATATAATTAAAATGATTTTCAGGCTGAAATGGAACTTGACAAATACCAGCAGTTCTCTACATTATTTTCAGCAAAACCAGATCAGAAATGAGAGGATCAGACAGGATCACATGGGAACATTCTAGGAATTTAAGTGATTTAATGTGGCATGGACATGGTGGGTTTTATTATTGCCACCAGCTGAAGTTAAAACCGCTGATACCTGAAGCCAAATCTTCTGCCTTTTGGGAGCAGAATTTTATTGTGTCAGCATGGTGGAAATCAGCATACAAGGATCCCTAAATGAACTATGGTTGTGTTTAAGAGAAGAACAAAGGAAAAAGAAATGCAGGTTCATAACAATTTAGCATTTTTTGAGTGTGTGTTCTGAACTGGCCAGTTCTGACTCCTGACCAAGTGTACAAGACAGTGTGAGTTGATCTATAAACACTCTATAGAGAACAGAAAGATTATGTTTGTTTGATAAACTCCAAGCTATGAATAAAATTATCAGTAACTAGGATTCCAAAAGGAGATAGTTCTTATTTTCTTGATACAAATAATTAAGCTGAGAGATGAAGAGCATAGAGGCAAACTATAAAGAGCTGTGCATCAGGTAATCTCTCTTAGAAGAGACTTGCCAGGACTTAGTCAGAAATTTATAGTCATTAGCAAGCTTTGTTACTTTTAGTACATTAACTACTCACACATTTCTTAACTGGAGGTACTGCTTTATCTCTGAAGAAAATAAAACTTGTGTTTCAAGTGAGTTTCTTTGCCCCAGGATGAATTGCCACAGAAGTAGTAAATAAGTAGAAAGCATTGTAATAATAATAGTAAGTTGTAATAAGTTGTAAAATGAGTTCTTTTTTCTCTTCTCAACTATACTAATAAGAATTGCTGCTCCTTTCTTCCTTCCAGAAACATGATGGGCAATTTACAGTCATTCAGCTAGTGGGAATGTTGAGAGGAATTGCTGCTGGAATGAGATATTTGGCTGATATGGGATATGTACACAGGGATCTTGCAGCACGCAATATTCTTGTCAACAGCAACCTTGTTTGTAAAGTGTCAGACTTCGGCCTTTCCAGAGTTATAGAAGATGATCCAGAGGCCGTCTATACTACTACCGTAAGAGAAATCAATGGGTTTTCATAGTTTTGAAGATGCAGTTGTTAAGAAGAAACTTATCTTCTGGAGAGTATAGATAAGAGAAATACATTAATTGCTTGAGAAATGTTAACCAGTCAAAAGGAAAAGAGTCTCTGCAGAAATATAACTTTATTTAGGGACTGATATTTTTGTAAGAACATACACTTTTATTTGGTAAAGTTCTAAAAGCTTTGCACAGTAACTTCATTATTTTCTGTTTGAACAAATATGGAAGTTTTACCCATAAAAATTTTAGTCATCTCATTTGCTATGAGTCAATTAAAATATTTGTAGGCTATTACTATTTTTCAGACTAGATTTTATCTCACAAAAAAGTTGACTAGCTTGAGGCTAGACAGTGACAAAGCTCAACTCCTATATTTTCCCTTGCTTTTGGGTGGGACGCTTTTCTTCAATAAGCATTCATCGGGCACACTATGCTCTTTATTCTTTTGTTGAGCCAGCTCCACTTTCCCACCCATGGGGCCTCGCTGTACCTATTTTCTCATGCTGAAGGAAGGAGGGGCCCCTGGAATCTGCTCCAACAGGCGCGGGGATCCAGGAAACCGTACCGACGTTCATGTCTGTCACTCCTGCCACTGGGCTCTAAGTGGAATCCTGGTTTAAAAATGTCAGACCGAGATTTCAGAGGAGCCATATGACAAGACAACAGGATTTATATACACAGAATGAGATTCCCCTCACCTAGCTTCAGCCAGCCAGGAGTTAAATGACTAGTGTAAATCAAACATCTAAACAACCCCTTAAAATCAATGGAGAGAGAAGCACTTCCAGAGAAATGTATCCAACTTAGCTTAGACAGGTATCTAAGTTTCTATAATCCAAGTGATTTAAGAACCTAAACTTCCTTAGACTCCTTTGAAAATTCTGCAATTGGTCAACTATACTAGATGATATAAGTGCTGCTTTTGATGATGATGGAAATTATGGAAATAAATGCACTCTATGGAAGATGATATGGACATTTTGTGGAGAAAAAAGAAAACTTTCTTCTTTTCTTTTTTTTCACAGGGTGGAAAAATTCCAGTGAGATGGACAGCTCCAGAGGCCATCCAGTACCGCAAATTTACATCAGCCAGTGATGTGTGGAGTTATGGAATAGTTATGTGGGAAGTAATGTCCTATGGAGAACGGCCTTACTGGGACATGTCAAATCAAGATGTAGGTTATACTTTATCTGTTTGTGAACATGTGTGTGTGTTAGAAATACAAAAATTACATATTGTAAACACATACACGTGTGTTTCACTATGCATGCATAGAACGTTAAAACATGCGTAAATCTAGAAATAGGGTTTATCAAAATACTGTAAGGTTCTCACGAGATGAAGAAGTTACAGAGCTTTCACTTTTTACCTAAATCTCTAAATTGTTCTGCCATGTGGATGTTGTAGGTTTCTGTCATGAGTATCAAGTAAAATTGGAACATGAGAAATAGCTATATGTGTTCTTCACTTTTATTACACTTAAGCGTAGAAAGAATTAATCCCTTTTCAATAAAAAATAATTCTGATGTTTCTGACCTCAGAGCAATGATTAATCAGTTGAAAAAAGTTGTTAAAAATCTGAGTGGCAGTTAATGACCTACTTTGGCTTTTTCAAGTAATTATGCTGATTTAACAATACCCTTGTTTGCATAAAATATGATCCAGAGCAACAGGTCAGCAGTAATAGAACAGATGGGTGTTAATCTTGATTTCTGACAAGAGTATCTATTAATACAGAAAGTGCACGGGAAAAAGCCATGCAGGTGAGAAAGATGTCAGAAAGAGTCTCATTTAAAGTTCTTCAGGTCAGAGGCTTGAGTGGTTTTTTATTATTATTTTATTTTTTGATTGAGTGATCGACATCAAAGTTGAAAAAAAAGAGATGAAAGTGTAAATGATGAGTCAGTTTGGCACAGTGCAAAGTTGTTAATATTTGACAGGTCTCAGTGTCAAAGATTTCATGGACTGTCAAAATATGGGCAAACAAGTCCTTGGGGCAGAGAAAGAGAAATATTTACATTCCCTAGACACCCAGTAGAGTTTCATTTCTTTTGACACCTTCCTTCTGTACTAGATTCAAACATAAAAGAAGTCTGACAGGAATATAAGATGCCTCAAAGGCAAACCTTACCTATCTTTCAGGGAACAATAAGGAAAAACTTTTAAATAGGGGAGAAATTCTGATATCTTCATGCTGCTTGTTTGATTTTGAAAAGTATTCCCCCTATTGAAAACTGCAAGTAAAGCTCATGACTGAACCTTTTTCATAAAACAGCTAATTACCACTTCTTGCAGTTTCATCTCTTTTTAGCATCTTACATAATAATCTTCAATAGCATGTAGTTAAAAGATGCATTTATTAGTAAAATAATTTCAAATATTCTTGTATGCTGTGATCTTCAAGCATGTCCTCCTAAAACATATACCTACCAATCCCATAGATAAATCTATAATGCACAAATTTAGAATAATCTTATGATTATTTTTTTATTCTCCTTCACAATTACCAATGGGAATATTTAACTGGAATAAAAAATGCCTAATGTGTCTCTTCTAATTTTGCATATACACTCAAGCAGTTTATGTATCTTAAGTATATCATTTTGCCTAAAAGTGGATGTGGGTGTACTCATAGATCAGATCTCCTAAAAAATATATTTCCCTGACTTTGGATCTTTAGGTGGTATTTCTTTAGTTCATAGAATGATAGAATCGTAGAATGGTTTGATTGGAAGGGACCTTAAAGATCATCTGGTTCCAGCCCCCCTTTCCAGGCAGTGGGCTCCCCTCAGCTTAATTCTTGCTGGCAACAGTAGCCCTCAAACCACTGCACTTTACCCCATTCCCCTGTTAGACTGCTGGTGTTTGCTAGTTCTTGCTCTCATTTCGGTTACTGACCCTAGTGCAGATTAGTTCTTCAGAAAAGGGCAAGAGCTTAGGCTTACGTATTTTTTCTTTGCTCTACTCCTCAATTTATTACCACAATTATGATTATTAATTTGTATTATTTTTACATACCCAGAACCAGAATGATAACATTACATTGTTCAGTTACCCATCTTTGCTACCAACCAGTATATACAGTGAACAGTCCTGGCCCTCTTCTAAGCTACTTTACATCCTCAGATAGCTTGATTGTGATAAAAGCATACTTGACTCTTAACAGTATTCCCTTTTTCTCTTTTTGCAGCAAAAGCAGAATTTGAAAAACAAATTGTGGGAAGTGTAAATAATATAAATCAATTCTATTAGTAAGAACTCCAGCTGTGTTCTCTTTGTGGTTTTGCTTTTTTTAAAAAAACAAACAAACAAACAAACAAAAAAACCAAAAAAAAAAACAGTTCCTGCATCTATTTCATTATCTCCAAGCACTGATTTTTGAAACCCCACTCCTGCTTTCTTAGCAGAGTAGACACTTCTAATACCCTTCAAAGGGTGCAAGTTTTGCATAAACTTTTTTTTTTTTAGAAAAGAAACTTTACTTATCAATATTTTAGAATGTTTTTTCAATATTTTGGATATTTCCAGCAATTCCATCCATCTCTAGCTAACTCATTATTTTATATCTCCCAGTTTCATCCGTCTTGCTCAAAAGACACATCAAAGAAGCTGATTCTGTAGTAGCCCCAAAGCCTTTTAAAAATAATATCATCATCTCGATTCCTACCCCTCTCTTCAGGTTTCTCTGCAGATCGTAGTGAACATGGAAAAGTCCTGTTCATGATCCTTTCATTTATGTTTTTACTGTCCCTTACACTTTTGGATATAGTCTTATCTAGATGGTTTGCCAGTTCTAAGGGTCTAGGATATTTTGGTGGTTGTGTTGCTGTTGCTGTTACCTACTTTTTCATTCCTTGGTGGTAGTCTCTGCCTTCTGACCTCTTAAGCAACTGCTTCATTTGTAGTAAATCGTAGGTAGTATGCACAAAGGATTTAACACATTTTACCTTTTAGAAGGTCAGAAATTTCTGCATTACTTTTCATAGCACACCAGTTGTCCTATACACACTGTAGCTTATTTTTCACTTTTATTCCACTGCTACTTCTAAGCGTAAGGAGCTGTTCTTTTGTTTTTCCTCTTAATACTGCTCTAAAAGATCTTACATTTTACTTTTAATGTTTTCTTTAATGTATAATACTGTTCTTCCAGTTTCCCTGCTCTTCTGCAGAAATCGTCTCTCCCCACCCTGTCTGACAGATAACTTCACTGTCTTTAAAAGGTCACCGCACTCATTCTTCAAGGTGTGGACGTTACCGCAGGAACTGAATATTTCTCAGTCATTTTTGAGTTGTAGGACAGTACTGTCGTTCGAAATGTTCAGATGAAAAGCTGAGGCCCAGGGAGATGAGGCAACTTCCCTGAGGTCAGAAGGACATTCTGTGACACAAACCTGCAGTAAGTGCCCTACCACTGGGCTAAGCCTCCTCTTTTCACAAAAGTTCTTTTCTGTAAAAGGTTTTGATACAATCATGGATTTCAGCCAGCTTTTTGAATGTCATTTTGTATTCTTTGCAGTTCTGTCTACGTTGCAGTCCACTGCTTTTGCATTTTCTCACACAACTTATGGAATATTTTCTCTCTGAGGTTATTGTTTTCACTAAACCCTGGATATTCACCAACGTTATTTATCATACCAGATCTATTTCCTACAGCTACATCCAGAACAGCTTCTGATCTTGCTTTCTGTACAAACTGAGGGAGAAGACAGTCCTGTGCACTACCCTTCAGGAACAAGCACCCTTCCTTAGCAATTCTAATACTGCTATGTCAGTCAATGTCATATACTTGAAATCCCCCATGAACGGTGTTTTAGCCCTTTTTCACAAGCCTTTCTTATCTGCCTTGCTTCCTGATATGCTTTCTTATCCTGCCCTCAAGGTTTACAGCAGTTTCCTGTGATTTTACTTTACCCATTTTTATTTTTTCCTTAAATCCAAATGGACTTGGCTAAGGAAGTCAACGGATGGGTGTAATTCTTGGTTCAGACATTTGTGTTCTCCTTCGATCATATCATCATCTAGCAGCATCTCTTATTAAATCTAACTTTCTGTTTAGGTGTTATATTAAAATACCATTCAGCCAGGTCTTCCTCTCTCACGTGGCACATTTCTGCTACTTTATCATTAATATAACATGGCTAGACATAGAATACAACTTTTTTCCCTAACAATTTCTGTCTGCTCAACATTTTTCTTGGATCCTTTTATAATATCTTCAGGCTTTTTGTATTTTATATGTGCACGCACAGATCCCTATCCATTTACAAGTCAGTTGCTTCTACCACACACCCTTTCATAAAAGCCTTGGGGCAAGTAATAATGCTGTCTGAAATAACTCCATTTATCAATCTATCTGTTGCTCTCTTGGTGAATTTAATTGTTGTTCCCTGCTGCTCACTTGACTAGGTAATATAGCTATGTTCTGCACATATACAGCAATAGGCTTAATAAGCCCAAAGATGAAATCGGGGAAATTATTTGAAAACATGAAGGCTAGCATCAAAACAACAGACTAATTTTTTTGCAACACTGATGGCAAATTTTAGTTTATTGATTTTTTTTCTCTTTTTTTCTCTTTTATTTCTTGAACTGGGTAGCAATATATATTCTTTACATATCCCTTGATGAAATATTATTAACTATGTTGGCTGCTAGGTTATAAAAGCAATCGAAGAAGGCTATCGTTTGCCAGCACCCATGGATTGCCCAGCAGGACTGCACCAGCTGATGCTAGATTGTTGGCAGAAGGAACGTGGTGAAAGGCCGAAGTTTGAGCAGATAGTTGGTATTCTGGACAAAATGATTAGAAACCCAAACAGCTTGAAAACCCCACTGGGAACCTGTAGCAGGTAAGAAAAACTTTAGCGTGTGTTCTTATGATGGTGCACATGGCTGAGTTCTGGATGTTCTGCTTGGTGACTGGTTCCAGTTCACACTTACTCCATGTGTCTCTCAGTTCCTGCTTCCTTCTGTTCCCTGTTCTTCCCTTCCCTGATTTGCCTTTCTTTTTTACCATGCTGAACAAAGCCAAAAAGGACTTTCTTAAAGAAATAACCAAAATAAAGAAAGTAAATTTCATGGAACGAACACATTTCTCAGTAAACTACTGGCTGCTCTCTCTTTCCACACTCTCACCACTAGCAGTCTTTGTTTTCCTTGTTTCTTAAAGTTGTGAAGTCTGAAGGGCAAGGATCATCATCTGTTGTAGTTTTATGTCATGCATCCTCTGCCCTAGGAAGTACTATGGTAGAAATAGTAATTAATAATACTCATGTTTGGCCAATGTACTTTGACATGCTACACTCTAGATTTTTAACTTTCAGTGTTTGCATCTCATTGTATTTCATGGTGTAGCTTTTAATGGCTTCTTCATAAATTTCAGGTGAATTATTTCATCGTGGTAATCTTTTGATCTACTAGATAGATCTCTGCACTAGGGAATCAGCTGGCCTATGTTCTGCTCCCAGTTCTTCTACTGACTAATTTGCTGTGTGACCTTAAGCTACTTACTTTGTGTCTCTGCTCTTTCCTTGTCTTTGTTTTGTCCCATCCAATTGAATAATGGGAATAGCTACTACTGTATTTTCTAAGATGCTTAAAAGAATAGCATCTTTATTTTACTCAGCAACTTTAGCTGCAGCTGCTGTCATGCTAGGTAATAAGGTTGATTTTCTGTTGGTAATAATAGTCCATTAGGCTGATTTTGCTCACTCTGACCTTTCATCTTTTACGTGAATAAGCTTAGGAAGTACATATTGTGAGCTACAGAGTAGTCAAGAGCTATTCACAGAATAATCTAAACTGTGTATAAAGGCCTATTACTTTCTACTCTTGACATTTTTAATACCCCAAACTTATTTGACTCTCACCTTGCTAAATACTCCCTGATGTTTTACTCTTTTTGGAAACAACTTACTTTCCTTTTTCCTTCTCCGTAGACCAATTAGCCCTCTTCTGGACCAGAACACTCCCGATTTTACCACTTTCTGCTCCGTAGGCGAATGGTTACAAGCTATTAAGATGGAAAGATATAAGGATAATTTCACAGCAGCAGGCTACAACTCTCTTGAATCAGTTGCCAGGATGACTATTGAGTAAGTTAGTACTGGGCATGTTTAACTTGCATTTAGGGCATTTCTAGGTAAAATAATACACAATGTTCAACTCCAAAACTTTACCCAGAGTACAAACATGGTACTTGGGGTTAAGCCATCTGGTTTAGCAGCTGATGATGTTATATTGGAGCATCCCATGAAAGGGCAAATACCCTGCTACCTACGTGTGGCATCATTTTTTTTCCTGCCTTTGAGACCAATTGAAATAACACCAGGGGGCTAGAATTTGAGGGAGAATGTGACCCATTTCAAATTATGCATGTATAGGAAAATAACCACTTTGCCTCCACTACCTAATTGATACCTTTTCCCAGATGTGCACTAGGAAGATGTGGACTTTTCGTCTAATTGGCTGGGGGCTGTCTGTGTCCTTCAAGAAATGACTTTGCATCAGGATAAAAGTCTATAGAAGCAAAACAATTTTCTGAAGGCAAGCATGGCCTGTGTTGGTACTGCCATCTTAAACAGGTCTTCTTGGCACCCTGCAAACATTCTTGTCCTGGTGGTTGCCAAGCACATGTAATTCCTCTTACAGAGAGCAGTGGTTTTCTAAACAATATTCTGAAGTTTGGAACCTTACTTTTATCTGCCTGGTATCACTAGGGGTCTCAGCCTATAGCTTGGGAACTGTCATCAGAGCCCACAAGCTTCTACTAGGTCAATAGCACAGTAGCGGTGGAATTGAAACAGCTGCTCCTCTTTCGTTTGCATGATGAGTATGGGTCAATATGCAAAGGGTTTCTCTAGGCATCTCTTTAGGAAGCATAATGTGATCCCCAAAATCTTGTATTAATATATAATTTTGTTCTGAAAGCAACTCGAAGTATTTTACAAGAGAAATGTCTCTTCCTTTGAGTGTCCTTAAAAGCCACGATAAAAGATGATCGTAGTGCAAAACATGCTGGCCTCATTCTCAGATGTGGGAACACATGCAGTGTAATTACATGACACTTGCCATGTAATTGCACTCCTCGCTGAGAAGTTGAACAGTGCCAATATGAACTTCGCAGTACTGAGCTGAGGTTCCAGTGTAGCTTCAATGTTAGAAACCTGTAGCCCAGACAACTACCTAGCTTTGACTCACAGTTGAATACCATACAATAGCAGTCTAAGTTGAAAAATTAACAATGTACGCATTTATCTTCCCCAGGGATGTGATGAGTTTAGGGATCACGTTGGTTGGTCATCAAAAGAAAATCATGAGCAGCATTCAGACTATGAGAGCACAAATGCTACATTTACACGGCACTGGCATCCAAGTGTGATAGACATTTCTCCCTTATGAGGGAGGTGACAGACTGAGAGAACAGCACTGGCCTTCAGTATATATGAAGTGCTGCTAGAAGACACTTGATTTCCTGGGTCCTTCCTGCAGTGAATAGAAGAGCTACAAGAAGCACCTACAGACTTGAACTCCTAAGTGCCACCAGAATTTATGAAAAGGGAATTAGGATCCACCAGTGGTGGCAAGGAAAACAGCAGTGACAATAAACAAAGTACTACCTGAATAAACATACAAACACCTTGAGCTCTCTAACCTCCTTTTTATCTAATAGACTTTTTAAATGTACATAAAAATTTAAAAAAGAATATATTTGTCAGATAAAATCATGATATTATTGTTGAATTCAACAAAATATTTTCCTTAAATCTGTGATTTCTGAATCTTTTTTTAATCATTTGTGTTTATTCTTCATAAAGACTTTCTTTTAGTATGATGTTTATATCTTTGGACCTTTTTAGTGCTAATTCTATGACACATTACTACACTGGGTACCTCTGAAGGATTATTTCAGTTCCTAGAGATTTAAGAAGCATGACCAAGCAATGTATATCTGTCCAAACTTTGGTATCCTTTTGTGCCATTTACTTTTGTTAAATCCGTACCACATTGACATGGCTAGCTAATTGGCAGGGAGTCAGGAAAATGCAAGTTGCCAAGAGCTCTGATATTTTTTAAAGAATTTTTTAAGGTTACACATATACTATCTTTTAAAAGAAAATAAAAGAGAAAAAAAAAAAAAAAAGAAAAAAGAAAAGCAATAATGACCCCTAAGTAGTTCTAGGCACTTTTAGCAAATTGTTTGCAAGATGGTTTTAATGGACTAGAGTTAAAGTGAGATATATTCTAAGATGTAGATCTACAACTGTAAACCTGCTGAGACACTGCGTTGAATGGACAAATGATTGTAGGAGTGTCTCAGAACACAGGTGCAGTTCTCCAGTGTTACCTAAACCATTTAATCTGAGCACATCACATTTTTTTTCAATACTCTGCTTTAGCAAATCAGAGAGAAATAGCTGGCATATATTTTATATGAGTTTAAGCTGTATGCAGTCCAGCTGTCAGAATAAGGACATAGATTTTATATGAGAACTGTAGAGCATGAGGCAAGGGGCAGTTCAAAATTTTCAGTTTTTTTACAAGCTTTTGCTGCTCGGAACAACCATGCGTGTGCATGCTTACACAGACACAACAGTCATTCATCAGGAACACAAGTGCAAGAGTAGTTGCTCAATGGAATATCTTTTTACACCATTTACTCATATATGAATTTTGTTTGATTAAAATATTTGACTACCATAAGCAATAATGAATGGTCTTTACGGATATTGCAGGAATGTATATGAACCAGAGAGAAATGCTTTAAAAAAAATCTGAAAATTGTGAACTACCCCAGCAATGAGATGCTGTACTTCCAAAGAGAATTGGGCTGCTTCTATTGATTTTGATAGAGAAAGATCCCAGGGATCAGTCATAAATTGGTCTTGTTTGATAATGTGGGCATCCACACAAAAAAAATAAAAACAAAAGAAAAACCCTGTAAATGTTCCTTTGTAAAACTTGTAAATTTTATTTATACTGTCTTGTTTTGTACACACATTTATGTGTAGTGAGCTCTGAACACATTGAAAATGCACTATATTTTTCTATTTTACTTGCAGAGCATCACAAACAAACATGTATATTCAGTGCTACATAATGTGTTTTCCCACATTTAGGACCAAAGATAGTTATCAAAAACTTAAATGCATCATTTTCCCCCTCCTTTTTTCTCCCCCTTTTTAGATCACTGTACAGTGTTATATTTGTCATTTTATTTATTTGTTTCATTAGAAAAATCAGTTTGGTTATACTAATTTTTTGTCCCCCCCTGCCTTTGTTGAAGAAAATCTGTAAAAAGCTTTTAATTAGCATAATCCCGTTACATAGACACTTCCATTTGTAATCTTTGTAATAGACTGTAAATATATTTTTGGAACTATAATGCAATGTGCATAAGGGTTATTTTTCAGTGTCCATATATGATTGTTTATACAATTCACAGCACTTTACAGTCATGCTGAGAAGCCTAATTTATTGCCTGGATTTGGGCAGAGTAAGAAAAAAAGGTGAATATTCTTATTTCATCTTAGATTGTCATTCAGTAGAAATGGAGTTATTTTCATGTATGCAGCTCAAGATGGTTTTTTAACTATTAAAATTAATTTTCTAGAAATGCTGTAGAAGTAAGACTCAGAGTAGACTGCATGCCCAATATCGAAATTAGTGCACACAAGCACTCAGCCAAGGCACTTTGAGTAGCCTTTGGAACACTCTTAATTAATAAACATCTGTTTTGTGTTATAACAAATGCTAAGTGCCTCACTACGGGGGTGAGCATCTGTGGGCAACTGCACAGGGTGCTTGTCAGTTTTCCTGCTGCTTTAGGCACCCAGCTATGAATTCAGGAGCCTGAGTTCAGACACCGGCTTCCTTATAAATCTCGGCTACTGTTTCTAAGGGCTTGGTTACTGAAGGTGTGATGCAGCAATGCTGGTATTGCTGAGAACCCACAAACCCTAAATGAAAGAGAGTTGAGGCCAGGCTTCGCCTTTAGGACTTGTTCAATATTCTGAAGCACAGAGGCCTCGTACCATGTGTGGTGACCTGGGCTCACACATGTAAAAGTGAGGGCCCTAATGGTATTTCTTCCTTATTTTTCCATGTTTGATTTAAGCCATCTTCTTTGAATAGTAAATATCTTTCAGCATTCGTCTATATACCTTGACTGCCTTAACGTTGCCACAGATTTTTACACATTTGAAAGTGGTAGAGTAGGCCCAGAAAGCACAATCGCTGTCAATACTCCTATCGTATCTATCTGTTTAGAACATTACTGCAATTCAGAGCACATGCATGTAAATGGATTTCTAACTGGTAGAGCGGCAACATACTGACGTTGGTTGCAGTTCCCCAGGTTCCAGGAAATGTAAGAAAAATAAAGTGCCAGAGAAAGTTGGTGTTCATGGGAGGAACTGAAGAAAAAGTTGAGTCAGAGGGAGAATTAAAGGCTAAATGATGAAACAAAGAAATTGTCTCAGTTCTGGCTTACTTTTATTGAATTTGGAAATTGTGCATCACTAAAGACAGATTATCAGACTGTCCGTAAGGCTGATGTTTCTTGACTTTATTGGTCTACAAGCATCTAAAAGAGAGATGCCTAAGACAAGCAGGATGAATCTCCCTCTGGGAATGCTTTTCTCCATTACCTGTTGAGGGAACCCAGATGATTAGCTTAAATTAGGCGTCTAATGTCTAGATAGTTAAAACTAGGTGAGTGATTCCTACTCTATATGTCCTTGACTGCTACAGTTTCCCCCGCAAGCTGAGTGTCGTAGAAAGGCAGCTCCTCCACTGCTAGTGTGTCCCAGAATGTATTTAAACTGGGCTTTATCACAGAGAGAGGTGATTTTTTTTTTTATTCAGAGATTTGTAACAGATCATCTAAATGCTTTTTGTATATGGGTATTAATTCTTGAAAAAAATTTGTGATTGTTCTGAGGAAGACCTGCCTAGTAAATTACAGTTATTTAATATTTTAAATAATCAGAAATATTTGCTGACATACTGCTTCAGACCAGAGGTTATGTGATCCGATATGACAGTTGCTGTTTGCAAAACCATGTTTATCTAAAGCCTTGTCATGTAAAAATCTCCAGGAGGCAAAGATGCTTAAATGTATCTTAAATTGAATGTTGCCCTTAATATCTCAATAATTGAGCTCTGTCTGTATTTTTCTCCAAAATGAGGGGTTTATATTTGTTTAAGCTGGAGTTATCTTGCATCCACTGAGGTAGTTTGAAAAAATGATTTTAAATTAAATTTGCTTTTCTCCGCTAATAGTAATATACGGTAAATAGTTTCCACTGTTTTGAATGTTACAAAAACTATTGCTTTAATGTGGGGGATGAAGGGGTTTATTTTTGTTTTGTTGTTGGTATTTTTTTACATTTATTGGTTAGTAGTTGAAATAAAAAATAATAATTTGTCCTTAACTTTCTAAATAATTCATATATAGCAATTTTGAGAATGACTTAAATTCCATGGCTTTTGGGTTACTATTGAAACAGTGATCATGTCACTACAGCCATAATACCAAGCAATGCCAAGACACCCTGCCACAAAGGCAGGTTCAGCCAGTATTCTGTTGCCTAGTAATGGCATGAAGCAGTCTGTTGGCTGTGCCTGAGGAATGAAGGCCAACTCAGCCAAAAAAAGGTCATTTCACCTTTTAAGAGTACATGTGTGACATGTTAGAGCTAACACATCTTTAATACATTACTTCCCTGCATGCGGTTAGAAACTGATACGCTCATGATATGCATTTGGATTTTGATGGGTTTTGTCTGTTGGTTTGTTTGTTTTATTTTAAACAAGTGACATTTGGGGTGCTTGTGGAAGAGAACAGTTCCCAGACAGGATGACAAGCCTAGTTTAAGAGAAGTACAATACAAATTCTTGCCTAACAGTAATTCTGGCAGCAGATGCTGCAGGGGCATTCAGGCAGTTGGTGCTATGATTTGTTGAGCAACTAGTACAGCAGGGTTTCTGCATGTTCAGGACCTGTTAGGATTGTACTTCTGATGAATATACTTGTGATATATAGAAACAGGTGAATTTTTTCCCGCACTAACTTGGAATGGACTGGCAGATGGTAGATTCAGGATTCACAAAACTACTCAAAAGTCTTACCCTCAAACTCATTTCTAGTAAAACAAGAAATTCTGGGCAGCAGCCTATATTTTCTCTCCTGTTCCCTTAAGGGTTGTCATATGTAGCCAACAATTACTTTTAAAGAGAGATCTTTATTGTTTGCATAGTGCGGCTTTCTATTTACTTGGGACCAGGCAGTTCTGTAATTAAATTTCCTGCAAAAAGGACTGGGGAGGATTGGGGGAAGGGGGAGGGAATACAAAAGTTTGGAAAAAAACTCAGGAAACAAAGAAAGAAAAACCCAATCTAACAAATGATCCGTGAAACCCGGAGTATGACTGGGCTCACAATTTTTGTAACACATTCCCTATAGGAATTTGAAAAATATAAGAGATTAAACTATAGGCATAAAATCTGCAATATCCTGACAAAAGAGTAGTGGCAGAATGCAAGCTACATTTGTGGGAATTTTTCCTCTCTGGATTTGTGTTTGTGACATTTTTAAGTTAGGATAATTAACATACACATTTAGAGTAAAATCTATTGGGACAGCCTAAGGGACAAAATTAGTGTGTCTATAATATCCATGAAATTCTCAGTGCACTTTTAGAGTGGATAAGCGTTAGGCAGTTTGAAAGTGAAAGGATTAATGTGAAGTTTGTATGCTGTACACAGCGTGTAAGTTATGTCCAGCGAGATTGTGAAAGGTTTAAAGTTAAAGAGGAAAACCCTCACTTTTGTACCTGGCGAAAAGTCAGAAGATGGGAGGGAATGGAAAGAGAGGGTTGTGAAGACATTCAGAACATGTGAGTCTAAGTCTCGGGGCTCTGCAAGGCATTGCTGGCAGGGTAGTTAAGGAGTGTCAAGATTTTTTCTTTAAGTAAAGAAACACTGTTAATAAAATATACCTAATAATCTAATGTGGAGTGGTTTCAGTATTCTGATTTTTCCTCAGGCCAGATTGGAATTTGTCAGAGAGACTAAATTGAGACAGATGGGAAAGCAACTGATAATACACAGCTCATTCAAGCAGACTTGAAAGAGACATGAAAGGAGAATTTTACATTAAAAGTCTGAAAATAAAACACGAACTCTGATGATATTTACTCTCAGAAGGTTTTAGAGTAGTTTTCCTTAAATTTAGGTTAATGATAGCAGATTTGAGCACTGATATCATACAAATTGTGTGAAATTAATGTCTAATTAGAGTCACCAAAAAAGAACCACAAGTCAAAAAATAGTTGATGTCTTGGTAGACTGTGAAAAAAGATGTGATACAGCCATGCGAAACTTGTGTAGCCAGCCA